GTCTCTTACTGCCCCCCCCCCAACTCAAATTTAATCAACTATGTGGTGTAGGCCTAGGTAAATCTGTTCACAATATTTTCTTTGGTTACATTAAACTGTTTTTAGTTTTTAGCTTAAGGATCAAATCTGATACTGGCTAGCATAAATCTGGAGGAGTAACCGTCACTGATGACATCAGATTCAAGCTTTCATTCTTCAACTGTAATTTGCACTCTGCTCCCAAGTCATTTTGTGGCCTTAGAACCCAGAGCATTTTTGTGGACTGAGTGAGGTCAGCCCTGTCCTGTTGTCTTTTGCTAAACTACTCAAACCCTCCCAATATTGTCATCTCTACAACATAGACACTAATAATTCTGTAGTCCAATATGAGAACTAGGATAGCCGATTAGATTCCCTGAGATAACACAGGAAGTGTGGACAGCATTGAATGAATTCATGCTGACATAATCAACAGGTATTTTTGTTGCTTTTTATTGAATATTTTATAACGCAATGCTTTCAATTGTATATATAACAGTCTAAAAGGTAGGAAATAATAGAAGTTCATTCTTGGGGATTACAAACACTTTAACATTTATCAACATCTGTGTAGTGCAAGAGCCTAACTAAGCAATCCACTCAATGTATATCAAGTCAGTTGTACTCTCCCAATATGAAGTACTTGGTACATTTTTGAGATTTTGCATAGATTTGATCTATTAAATAAGCACTGTGTGGATAGCTTAAAATGGTCCTTCCTTTTGAATGTGTGTATTTTTTTTTTTCCTTTTTTTTTTTTTTTTTTTTTTTTTTTTTTTATTTTTTTTAATAAAAATAGAAATGTAACAAACATGTCTAAGTTGTGTATGATTTGTCTAACACCAACTCAAAATCAAGCCACAGACTTTCTCGTCCATTGAGGGACACAGGAATTCAAAGATTGCCAGGACATATCCGCCTATAGAAAGATTGGGCACTGGCATACCAAAAAATTGTGGGAAACCCCAAGATAACCTCTAAGTCCCAATATGCTTGCGTTTATTGCTAGTCTCCTAACAGGATGGATTTATTTTCTCCACTCTCCTAAGAAAAGTCTAACCTTTTTGCTAGCTATCTTTTTTCTTCTTCTACCTGGACCCTGCTGGACTTGACATTATAGGGCTAGTCTGAAATATGACCATCAGGCACTGGGCTTTGCATTTGCATAAAACTTGGCCACAAAGTGCTTCCCAGGTCTAGAGTCATGGCATTGATTTAGTGTGACCTTTTCTCTGAAAACTACCTTTTTGTTAGTGGGCTTTGCGGGCCGAGCATTGGGAGTTGCCAAATTAAAAGCACTTCATGGAGCAGTTTAAAAGTCGCGCTTTTCGTCAGTTATACCATGGAAGCGGTTAGAGCTGAGGAATTAAGCTGTAGCATCATCCACTGGAGTGGAGTAGCACCCCATGCTTTTTTCAAGCTGTTTAAGATTAAGACCTTGCTGCTGCTGCTCAAGGGAGGCGAGGAGCTCTCCTTGCTGCCCGCCTACAGTGACTTGGTCACTTTTGGCCTCCTTATACTACACCTGCTACCAAAGCAGCTAGGTTCATGCGTATCTGAAGCCTAGCCTTGCACCCTGAGCACGATGCCTTCTGGGTTGCAGTGCAGCATTTCTGATTCTAGACACATGAAGAACAGTCCCACTGTACTGGGTGCCCTGAGGTGCTGGACACTGAAGACCTGGAATTTTGCCCCCCTTCAATAAAGTCATCCTTAGCTCCCTCAGGCATTAACGCTTCCTCTGCTTTCCAGGGAGGACTTCACTGCAGTCATGCAGGACTTTATGGGCAAAATAATATTACTGATTGCTGATCCTGACTGCAGAGACACCTTACCCTGCAGAATCCCTTTCATGTCTGCCTGTGGGATTTGCAACCTCAGAGCTGTTAGACACTAGAACTCATTCTGTTGCTAAGTTTCAAGTCGCTGATGGATGAACCTAAACCTGAAGAGTCAGTTTTCTGCCATCACTTCCATACTTCGAGACCATTTCGGCTCTTATAGATGAAGTGTGCGCCATTTGAGGAGAACCTTAGGCTAAAGACCCCTTTTAGAACTTTGTTCCCCTGGAATTGTCCTCCCTGCACTGCTGCCTGTCTTGACCATGACCTTAATCTGTCAAAGTTTAGCTGGCTGCTCGAAGGAAGGGATCTTAACACTATGGCGGTTGATTCCCTGGTCATAGAACGTATGTAACTCAAGCCCACGGCTTTGAACTACAATGTGGATGGGATGTTTGAAGACTCCAACCTCATCTCACGTATGAGTCTCCTGTTGGTAAACATGCGGAGCCCACATGCAAAAATCTTTTGCTCCACATGCCCTTTTGAGGGACAATGTCGCTATGTGGCTGTCCTGGATGCCCTTATAAGCCTGTTGCCTGCAGCAGGAGTACCCATCTTCCTCTGCAAAGGAAGCCTAGGACTCAGTCTTGGAAGGGTCATTCCTCCACTGAGGCCAAGAAGAATCCTTTAAGTCTCATTTTGATTCCAAAGCCAAACGTAAGTCTCGCAGCCAGTCTGCCCTCAAATACTGTCCTCCAAACTCTCAGATGAATCCATAGGCGGGGGACATCTGTCAGTCTTTATAAACACTTGGAGAACCTGCATCTCAGATGCTTGGGTGCTGGAGGTTGTTTCCAAGGGATACAAGCTGTTTTCACTCCCTGCCCCTTTTCAGGTTCATTCGATCTGAACTGCATGGGTCACCACACAAATTAGCAGGTCTTCTGGTGCAGGGTATCATTGCCCCAATTCCCATTGCAGGCTCCAGGTGTTCTAGTTCAACCTGTTTACAGTTCCCAGTTGGTCTCTGTGGACTCCCCAACTCTTGCAGTACCTTCTGCATGAGAGTCCTGAGACTAATGGGAGGATCCTTTTGAGGTATTTTCATTTGCCCTGTTCAACTTCAGACACAACAACATCCTGTCATTCATCTGGCACCTTTGACCAGGTTGTTCTTGGCTTGGTGGCTCAGGAATGCTGCTCTAGGGTCAGGGGGAGTTATTTCTACTGGTCTTCAAGGTTTTCACAATGAATACCAGCCTGTTGGTCTGGGGATGAGTCCTGGGCACTTTGTCGGTGCAGGAGACTTGGACTTTGGTGGAATCTTGTCTCTTGATAAACATTCTAAATCAGATTAGGATTCAGTCAAACAACGCCATGGTAGTAACTTTGCTGCAGCCCTGCCCACTGTTTATATTCCAGGCCTGGACAACAGGCAAGCAGATTTCCTCAGCTGGCAGTATCTGGACCTGAGGAAATGGCTTCTACATCCAGAACTGTTCGAGAACCTGGGTCACAGGTTGGAAATACTGGATGTGGACCTTCTGGGTTTAACAGACTGGACAGGTTTGTCTCTAGGTACAGGGATCCTCTAATGCAGGGATGTCCAAACTGCGGCCATCCAGCTGTGGTGGAACTACAAATCCCATGAGGCTTTGCAAGATTCTCACAGCCACAGACATGACTCCCGGAGAGAGATGATTCATGGGATTTGTAGTTTCACCACAGCTGGAGAGCCGGAGTTTGGACATCCCTGCTCTAGCGGAAGCAGTGTATGCTCTGATGTCTTTGAGGGATCAGTACACCTTGATCTATTCCTTTCATCTCCTAAAACTCCGTACTTGTCTGCTTTTCAGGATTGATATAGAGGACATCCTTATAGCTCTGAACTGACCTAAGTGGGTGTGGTACTCCAGCCTGATAAGACTCCTGTCAAGACCGTCCGTGGGTTCTTCCAGATGACTTGAATCTGTCGCGAGGGCAAATTTGCCACCCTGCTTTATGGTCACTGAGGCATGCTGGGAATAGGAGGGGTTAACCTCCCACATTTTTTAATTTTTTTGACCAGTGTATAATCCTCCTGTAGGTGCCAGTCTAACCAAACAGTCTCAGGTTTTTTGTGTCCCTCAATGGACTCCAAGAAATTAAAAATTAATTTTTCTTTCCTCTATTTCTTCTATATATAGATGTGTGTGTATACACACACATATATATGTATATATATATATATGTATACACACCTACATTTAATTTGTGTATTTTATAGTGTTTTTATATTAATTCCTTAACAGATTATGAAGGCGTTTTTTGAAGGTCGATACATTATCCTACTTATGGGGCTTTTTTCAATTTACACTGGGCTTATCTACAATGACTGCTTCTCAAAGTCAGTGAACATATTTGGGTCTAGCTGGAATGTTTCTGCGATGTACAAGGCTGGGGTCTGGACGTGAGTATATTTTTATGAATGTATATTGTAAATGTATAGGAACTGAAAGTTTCCATATTGTCCAACACTTTCAGGCTAAGTTCACATATTGGGGATCCCGGGACATGCAATTGCCGCGTGGCCCCATTGATTTCAATTGGGTTTTATCCGTGCGGCAATCGCTGAAAAAAGATAAATTTCCTTTTATTCGTGACACGCGCCATGCGTTTTTTTCAACTGCGATCATGAGCAATTGCATAGATGGTACCCCTAAAGAATGGCACCGCCAGCGCAATCGGTGGTGGTGTGCCACTACGTGACTGCACGGTTTCATGCATGATTGCTGTGCGATCCTAGCCTAAGTTCCTAGCCTAAGTGATTATGAATATAAAATATGTTCATGCAGCACAACATAGAAAAGGCCTTAAAATGTGTGTGAACAAAACAGTAACTTCTTATTAGGGCATTCAAGTCTGTGTATGCATGTTATATACATTTATTTATATATCATTTTATTTTGCTATGTATGCATGTTCACAGACTAACATAAACATCTGTTTTTTCCACAGGAATACAAATACTGTTCCGGACGAGTATATGACTCTGGTTCCTACTGTACCTGGAGTTTTTACTGGAGCTTATCCCTTTGGAATAGACCCAGTACGTGCCTTTTTGATGCTAATAATAAAAACAATACATCTTTTCCATTGCTTTCGAATGTCTACCCTTTTTTTTTTTTTTTTCCTCTAGTCCTGGTCTTTAGGCTTAGATTTCAGACTTTATACACTATTTCATACATTTTTTTACACTCATTTTAAAGTGTATCTTTACTTTTTTTTTTGTTTTTTTTTTTGTTACACACCATATCCATATGGATTTTTCCATATTTTCACACAAAACAAAGTGACGGGTAGACAACTGACATATATTTTTCTTTGGAATTGTTCATTATGGGTGTGGTTTTTGCGCTGTTGCTGCTCCAATGGACTTGAAGGAGGTGCTTGCAGAATTCCTGGGTCTTGGTAGGAGATAGGGGCTCATACTTTACTGCCATAAGCTAGGATCTGTTCTCCCTGTTTTGCACCTATTTTTCCATGTGTATTTTCAACAGCACATACCCTTTACTTTTCATTGGTTTTCGATGATCTCAGTATATTTTGCAGTAGATTTCCAGCTTACCTTATTTTTTAATTTTTTTTTCTCTTACAGATCTGGAATTTGGCAACAAACCGTCTTACCTTCCTGAACTCTTTCAAAATGAAAATGTCCATCATTCTAGGTGTCATACATATGACATTTGGAGTAGTTCTAAGTGTTTTCAACTACATGTAAGTGGGAAAAAAGTAAAAAATGTGACCTACTGTAGGGTTTTTTTTTACTGTAAATATTGCCTCCTGACCATAATCAACCCCAATATTTCACTATACCTTACCTGGCCCTCAGAAATAAACAAAAGCTATATTTAATACTTGTGTATTTGACAATACATTTTGCTTTCGCTGGGCTGACGGGAACCTTTATTCTGCAAAGCTTCATACCTAACTGCCCTTAAGGTAAATACAGCCTAATAAAAGTGGTGGGGTGTGAAAGGTCAATTTGTTAATGTTCTTGCAGTCTACTTCTCTGTGACAGTGAAATCCATGTTCTGTGAATTTCTAAGCTTTTATCTCCAAGGGATAAGTCCTGTGCAATGGGAGAGTTCCTTTATAAATAATGTTCATGTAGATGTAGGTTATACTTTACATCCCAATGATTTAGGAATGTTCAGATACCAAGTACCATACTTGGTACAAGCACAGATACTGTTCCAGCTGCAAGACTAGACTAGAAAAAAACTCAAAAGTTAGGAGGCAGCTGTCATTTTTAAGGAGCATACGGAGCTCCTGGGATTTGTGCATCCCTGTGTTTAATGTATGATTTTGTTTTATTTATTCATATATAATATATAGTACCGATACTTGTCCTCACAGATACAATTACTGAAACATTTTTGTTTAGTGTCATGTGACACTTTTTCTAAAACAATACAGACTAATGATTTCAGGATAGTGGTGGAGCGCCAGGGCCCTGTCTCAGCTGCGACCCCTGGTAGTTCTCATGAAAATGCTGAGTATCAGCACTGGTATCTGAACATCCCTACAATGTTTGTTAACTTCAATATTTATTTTTTCGTTTTGGATGGAGTGGGGATAAGTCTAAAAACCTGTTTTTATTTTTATTTTTCCTGTTGTCTCTGTCTTTGTTGGGGAGATTTTCTGTCCTATTAGTCGCCTTGTGTGTGTCTAATAGTTGGCAGGTGGTCACCAAAACAAGAAGTGAGCTAAAATCTTCCTCATTGGGGACCTTAGAGAGGTTTTAGCTCTACCCTTCTCTATCAAACTTCTAATTAAAAGTTAAAAAAGGCAGGAGTTGGAATTTAAACTTTTTTATTCTGTTTTAGTTAATTTTTTCCTAATTTTTTACTTAAAACTAAAAAAAACTAAGGTCTCTGCTATGCTTTTTCCAGGCACTTCAAGAAGAAATTCTGTGTGTATCTGGTCTTCATCCCTGAGCTTATCTTCATGATGTGTATCTTTGGTTACCTCGTCTTCATGGTTGTATTCAAGTGGTTAGCATGGTCTGCAGAGAATTCCAAGAATGCACCTAGTATTCTCCTTCACTTCATCAATATGTTTATGTTCACTGGCAATGACAAGAAACAGAACCCTGATCTCTACCCAGGGCAGGTCAGTCATTTTAGGAGCTAAAAGCATGGATACAAAAGTTGCTGTAAGGCAAAAATTGTTACTATTCCATGGGATGGAATTGTGCTTTATTCTGATAGCACAGGATCATTTCTTTAAGGGCTCAATAACACTATTGCGTTAAAGTTACATAGGTTGCTGCATTGTGGTGCCATTCATTTTGATGTGAAGGTAACGCATCTGCATGGTGTTAGAGAATGTAGGCCATTTCTGATTTTTGGGATGTTTTGGTGCATTTGCAGACTATTCTTTTCAATAATCTGCCTTAACACAATGCACATTACAGTGCTGCAAAATTATAAATGGCCTTTTAATGGGGTCAGGCAGCTGTTGCTTCATGATGTAAGCAGAGTTACCTCAAACTTGACTGCAGTGTTGCATATGATGCACCCACCCACCACCAATCGAATATTTCAGCTTTGGATGGATGACTAATAAGGGGAGTCTGCTTCATTCTGTGCTCCCCTTCATCCTTTATGAATTACACAATTGGCCCTAGCTTCTGCTGGTGGCTTTTCTGTAACCAAAAAAAATGGAACGTAATGCATGACTTCTTGTAAGGACATCTATAAAAACTGAAATTAGGGTATTCCAACTGAAGCCAACTGTATGTAATAAGTGTGTAGTACTAACAAAGGAAAATGGTGTACAGAGCAGTTTTACAATAAGAACATGTGTATTGTATGACATCGCATAAAAATACAAAATTTAAGTTATAATAACCCTACAATAAATTCAAATAATAAAGAGGAAATTATTAAAGGGGTAATTAGTGGGCTCACTCCAGTCACTAGTGCAAAAGCAGTGAATATAGAAAATCCGATAGCAATAAATAACACAATTAAGCCTGGCCAACCAATATCAAGTAAACCTTTGGCCCATAAGACAGGAATTAAATGTATGTACACGAACGCGAGAAGTCTGGCCAATAAATTAGAAGAGCTTGAACTTATGATGCTCGAGGAGGACTTCGATATAGTAGGAATAACGGAAACCTGGCTAGACAACACACACGATTGAATAGGTTGGACTTGATGGACATATGTCTTTATTCAACCTCAAATACTATGTAACTATGCATATGTGGTTCAAAATACAGTGGTATGCAGGATCCTTTTATTTAAACACCATGTAGCTCTCTGTACCAGAAAGGTTGCTGGTTAATAGTGTGTTATAGACCAAAGAGGCAAAACATGAAAAATTGATCTTAAAGTAACACTGAAATAAAATATATATGACACAGGCACTTGCATCAGGCTGTGTATATGCCATATGCACTATGTCTTATACTTCTCTCAAATTGGTGTATGTGTAAATGCTGTTGCTGTTTTTTTTTTTTTTGTTTAAGATTTTGCCTGTCAGTAGATATGCAGTACTTTATTCTTGGCTTTTTTGCTGCATCGTCACACATGTTATTTCCCAGCAGTTACTGCTTTTATGTGTGTTCTTTTATTTAGTGCTTGCAGGTGCATACCCTGTGTAGAAGCCACATCTATTTATCATTGTTAATTCTTTTCAGTATCTGTATTTCTAGTATGTACATTATGTATATAGGTATATAGCTGTAAATCTGCTAGTTTTTTGTATTTTTGTTTTGTTTTTTACAGCATAATGGATTATTCCAAATCAACTGTAATTGGTTTTAAACACAAAGCATAAAGTACAGACATTTTCCTATAATGGTAAGAGGGATTTATTGAGGTGCAGCTAATGAAAGTCCTTTGTTTCTCTATGTAGGCTGGATTCCAGATTTTCCTTGTAGTTATTGTGTTCCTCTGTGTGCCCGTAATGCTATTTGGGAAACCCTTGTACCTATACTGGCAGCATCATGGAGGACAGACCTTTGGAAATTATAGGGTAGGTGTCATGTCTTTTTTTTCTTATGTTTGTAATGTTATATTTTATTAAAATGCAGTCTGAGTCAAAAACAATTGCAACCGTTGCTGTTGTGATAAGTTTTTTTTGTTGTTTCTTTTTTACTACATGTTAATACAATGACATTATCTGTCACATTTCCTATCGGAAACCTTCTATAGAGTCGTGCTATTTATTTATTTTTTTAACACCGACCACCTTCAGCGTGTGAACTATAAGAGAATGTGTGAAGGACCTAGGAAGTGTGAAGTTCTCTAGTATACCTTGGTTCCAACACCACTGTTCACAACTCCAATCCACAACCCTAGTTAGTTGCATCATTTGGTAATACAACATAGGATCAGGGAATCTCATGCCCCCATTCTCTTTACGAGAGCATTACATTTTTTTATGCCACTCTAGGGCAGGTAGGATGCCACAGAAAGCAACATGTACTGCTTCTTTCTCCCCAGTCTGAGCTCTGCAGCACAGGGTACTAACACTGTTTGTTTTGCATTTTTAAAAATGCATTTATTGATATACTAATAAATACACAGAGCTGCATTAATTTGGAAGTCCGCTTTTACAATCTTTTCAACAATGAGGGAAAGGTTTCCCACCGTCTGCTCCTATATGTAAAGGTTCAAACCAATGGTTGCCGTATACTTCAAAGTGTTTGGTTTAAAGTATGTAGAGTAACAGTAGCAACTGTTTTGAGCAAACTGCGTTTTTTAAAAATATTGTTATATTTGCATGAATGGTTATGTATGTAAATGTATACACCTATATCTATTGGAGATTATACAGCTTTCAGTATGTAAACATTCTTGTTTCCTTTTATTGGTAATAATGCTCATTCTGTCTAGAAGGGATACACATTAGTCCGTCGAGGAAGTGAAGAAGAGTTGTCTTTGCTGCGGTCACATGATTTGGAAGAAGGAGAAGACCATACAGGCCGTGAGGTTCAGAGGGACAGAGAAAAAGAAAAGGTGGGAACAGGCCTGAGTTAGCCCATTGTTAAATGGCTTTTCCACATTGTTTTGTTGTTTTATTATGGTCAGCTTGCTTGGTAAAGCCTAACTTTGGACTATTTATTTGCCCCCCAACTTGTATATACACACCAAGTGACTAGCCTGAAGAATTTTGAAAACGACAGTATTTTTTAAAAAAAATAGCATACGTGCTGGGGATTCTTCTATCAACGGAGCCTGGAGTTGGGTGTAAATTGTCTAATAACCTCCATTGTAAAGACAGGTTTACTGTAATCAAATGGCTTGTGCAAAACTCTTAGCATTTAGTGTTCTATTTTATATATGTGGCAGTTTATTTAGGAAAGATTTGTATTTGCTTTGCCTGAACCTGATATATTAGATTAAATATTAGAGGCCATTTAAAGTTTGCCTGTTGCTACATTTATCGCCTGCCTGACTTTCCACACTGTCTCCCAACTCCGGAGTGCATTACAGTTTCAAATAAAAAAGCCCTGTGGCTTCCCCAAGACCTCTGAACTGCGTGACTTTATTTTATGACCTTGTTATGTACTCTCTGGAGTTGGGCGATGGTGTGTTTTTACCAGGAGTTTGCAATGCTGGCACTCATGTTGAAGTGTGTGAAGGCAAAAACCTATATACTGTCTGATGTAATGTGGAACTGTTTTCACATTTTCTTGTATAGTTACTGGTCTTCGTTGTTTTTTTAGTTTGATGTGGCAGATGTGTTTATGCATCAGGCCATCCACACCATAGAATATTGCCTTGGATGTATTTCTAACACAGCTTCCTACCTGCGACTCTGGGCTTTAAGCCTTGCACATGCCCGTAAGTATATCATTATTATCTTGGGGATCTTTATGTTTTTAATGCAATGTGCTTTACTCCTCCCCAAATAACATTATTTAAGTCTAGCTAAAGCACACTGCTGATTCTGATTAATCTGATTTACTACATACTTGAAAATTATTTTTGTACTTGTTCAAATCTGATTTATGTTGTCCTAAACTTTTAAATAGACAGGCTAGTTAACACTACTTGGCTCCCTGAGAATGGTTCCTCCGCCCAGAGGTGTTTTAGGACCCTAGCTTCCTCTGAGGGACACCAGATGTAGATCTGTATGTGTCCCAGTTCAACATGCAGCTGGACAGATTTGTCTGCAGGTCACAGGATTTGACAGAGGCGGCAGTGGATGCCCTGGTAGCTCTGTGGTCTCATGAAGTGCTGCTTTATGCATGCAATTCCACTTCTTGTGTACCTTTTGGGCTTAGCCTATTTCCGTTAGTGAGTTTCCAGGGGATTTAATTCTTGTGTGTTCTGCATGGGTTGGCTGGGGTTGGATATTTTCTTTCGTTCATTTGGGAATGGATCAGCACCTGGCCTTGAGTAATGCCACGGGTCAGGTCTTTATTTTAGCCATCCTATTTTAGAAGCCTGTGGTGTCCAACTCCTTGATTCATACCTTTTAAGTACTTCAAGTTTTAGTTACTCATGTGGCACTTCCAGTCTGATCTCCTTTTCAATGATGGGGTATAAATCTAGAATTATTGGTTCTTGAAGTCACCATAAATGGACTTGGCAGTCCTAATACTGTTAAAGGAATGCACACTGGGAACAGCTCTGATAGAAGCTGCAGACATGTCTTCAAGTTTTAAAGTGGTGCAAACTGCATCTACAGGCGCCAAGATGGTCTCTTTTTAAGCCTGGATGTATTGGAGGATGCCAGTAGCTTCTCAGGAGCAACATTTTCCACTACGGATTTAAGGGACTCCAAATTAGATGGTCTTGGTGCCCGCAAAGGTTGTTGGCAGGGGATCTGTGAGTCCTTCCTGGGATTTTGGGCATTAAGCAACTGTGGCGTACCAGAAGTCATTAAATTACTATGTTCTTCCATGCATGCTAAAGATAAGGTTTTTTTTTGTACTTCTCATAAAATCCATTCCTTGTAGTTTCACCCTCTATGGTCATGCTGTTGGTACTGCATTTTCACAAATCAAAGGCATGCTGGGAGTAGGAAGGTTATTCAGGGCTGCCATTGTTTCTTGTTTGCCAGTGTCCAACCTGTAGGTGACAGTATAACCCAACACTCATTAAATTCTTGTGTACTTCAATGAACTACAAGAAATTGATTTTACAGTGTGTTCCAAAATCCAATTTTTTTTGCACTTATCAAACATAATAGCAAAACACTTTAAATGGTATATTTGGCAGACAAAAATGGAGCAAATGGGTGTTCATTGTTAGGGTTTACATACACTTTAAGCACTAGGTTGTTTTGAGACCCTGCCCTTTTCTTTTTTTAACGCAAAGGTGGTCTCTGCTTTTCACTTGAATGAGGACATTGTTTAACCCTCTTGTGTCCTGTGTTGGTTCACCCTAAGAAAATCTTAATTATCAGAATGCATTGGCTTTTTTCAGAAAATATGATGCCCTATTTGTTCTTCCGGAAGAGTTATCTGGCTTCTAGCTCTACTTAAGCTCTGCTGATGCCAGTTTGGGTAGCCTGAATAGTTTTTTTCTCAACTTATTGTTATGCTGATTGCCTTCACACTTTTGTTGTAGACTGCTTTTGGGAAATCAGAATCACTGTTTTTATAATTGCTGTAAAATCCCTTTCTTGGAGTCCATTAAGGGATTCCTCACTTCATGTGTTTGCCTGGCTTAGTTTTGTTTTTTTGAGGTGCCTTATGTTCATTCCTTCTGTGAGAGGTAGTATAACTTATGCTTTCTCTGTGGCTTAATGGATTGCAAGAAAGGGATTTTTACGTTTTTGGGGTCTCTCATTGGTTTCGTCTTTATAACCTAGTGGGAGGGAGTGGGAACATAAGCTACTGCCGAAATATCTCACCGCTGGAGATCCTGAGACTGAAAAAGGCATCTTCATCCTGCATGTGTTCACTGAAAACTAAAATGTTGGTGGAAGGTGGAATTAACCTTCTGTTAGGTTTGTGCTAGGTATTCATTGACTTAGTACAACTGATACAGGGTTTTATTGTATATACAAGTATCCTGTAAGCCTGGAGTGACTTCTTTGCCTACTTAATTTTTACTTTTTTTTTCAATTGCAGAACTATCTGAAGTGTTGTGGACAATGGTATTGCGAAAGGGTCTTTGTATGCCACACTCCATTGTTGGTGTATTTCTTCTGGTGCTAGCTATAGCTGCATTTGTATCATTGACCGTTTTCATTCTTCTTGTTATGGAGGGACTTTCTGCATTCTTACATGCACTCCGTTTACACTGGTGAGTAAAAGAAATATATTTTATGTTCTTTCTGGATAATTGTTTATGCATTTTCTTTTAAACATTTGAAGCTGAAAAGAAACCTGTTTATGTTAGAAACATAGCAGGTTTTATTGCTGAGAAAATCGAGCGGTTAGAGGCCCCCCGAAGTCTTACATTTGCTGGCCTGTTTTTTTGCTGTCGTCTTCTTGGGATGTTTTCCCTCACTTTCTGTTCATGACAAAATTTTGGCTTTCCCATCACTTTTTTTGTCTGGGTGACAATGGTCACTAGGACAGAGTGGGAGAATCTGAATCTCCCAAGCAGGGACACAGAACCTGTGTCAGGCTTTCATTACTGTCTAACTATTTCTTGGTCAATCAAAATTTTTAAAAAAAGGTGTTGGGTATTAGATGCATTTTAAATACAAGTATTGACTTCCGAATATTCTTATAATGTATTTGCTGATGACCTCTAACTAGCCTTTGAGCATGCAATGTACTCATTTGTTCTTCATGCAAACACAATGATTAACAGAAAAATGTTTCTCTTTATTTACAGGGTGGAATTTCAGAACAAGTTTTATTCTGGGGCAGGATACAAATTTACACCGTTCTTATTTAAACACATGTCTCTCCATCTGGACAAAGAGTATTTTCCATAGCCCATGCTTCCTTGGTTATACAAATTATACAGATTTTATATAAGAACCGTCAGGTGCAGTTCCGTTTTGCTTTATAAAATAAAGCAATGTAAAAAAAAATCAGCCAAAACGTTTTCTTCGTTTGGATACAGTGGTGAAGGATTAGAACATTAAATGATTTATTACTTGAATTATTTGTTGCCCATGCTGCTGAAA